CCTTCTGAGGCCAGTCTTATGAAAAGAACAGAAGAGACATGATATTACAGAGGGGGAAGAGCCCCCTGAGGAACCCGTCTCCCAGGCAAAGGAGGGCTCTCAAGCTGATGTCCTGGTTTGAACGTGTAGCCTCCCAAACTGAGACAATAAATCCCTGTGTTTGTGTATGCATGTGTGTATGTGCACGTGTGCTTGTGTATGTGTGTGTGTGTTATAGCAGCATGAGTTCAGCTGCTATCTGAAAGGTTGGAGGTTCAAGTCCACTCAGAGGGGCCTTGGAAGAAAGGCCTGGTGATCCAGTTCTGAAAACTCAGCCAACAAAAACCGTGAGGGACCCCATGAGCTGGAACAGACTTGAGAGCAGCTGGTAGTTTTGCTTTTTACCCATCCACCCTATCTTCCACCTGCCTTTCCAACATACCTCTCTTCAGCACCTATGACCCGCAAGAACCCTACAGCCTCCTGGGGTTCTCACAGAGCGGCAGCTTACCGCCAAGTGGTCAACCCCCTTCTGGAGTCCTGCATCGGTGCTCAAGTCCAAGCTGGTCCATGCAGCTGGGGTGCAGGCCCGGTCTGGCCCTTGGGTTTGGCAGAGCCGGTGGTCTGGTAGTTTTCCTTGGGCCCTCAGCAGAGGGTGAAAGGACACAGGGCTGAATGAGTCGCAAATAAACCTGATGGGAGGTGCCCACAGGGCCTGCGAACTTCAAACCAACCCGAGGCGCGCGTCCTCGGTCCTGTCTGACAAACTCCGGGAGACACTTGGCATTTGCGCTGTGGGTGCTGACGGGGGCAGGCGGGCCATGGCCACAACCAGGAAGGGTTTTGTGACTCAGCAAAAGAGCTGTCTTCTCAATCCCGCCGGGGGGTGGGGTGGGGGTGGCGGGGGCGCAGCCAGGATTTGGGGGATAGTGGCCGAGGTTAGGGAACAGGCAGGCTTTCTTCCCAGCTCCTCTTAAGTCCTTATGTCCAGACGTTTGCTTGGTGGCGCCATGGTAACCGTGATGCCACAATGGAACATTCTTCACAAGGTGGCAGAAGAAATCCCTGTGTTGAGCTCTGATTTGCAGGCCGCAGGGAGCTCGTTTCTCCTGTAGCAGGAGCAAGCAGTTCACGGAGGAACTCTGAGCACCACCCTGAGGACCAGAAACACCCGGGGTCATGAGTGGAACATGGTGAGGGAGGGCTGGACCAGGGGGCTCCTTGGGCTATTAACATTGCTGGAGGCCCCCGGGGGTCTGGCAGCTGGGGAGACCCTCCTGGGCTTTGAATGCAGGCAGATCTGAGTTAGAATCCCATTAGCTACATGATCTTGGGCGAGCTGCCCCATGCCCGTGGGCATCAGTTTCTGCATCTGTAAAATGGGGCTCACGGTCATATGTGCCTCCTGGGATGACTGTATGGGCGACCTGAGCTGCATGCTGAGCTGTCACCAGTTAAAGAAACCGTGGCATGACTTAAACCAGCAGGGTTTCAGACCTTTGGTAAGCTGGTGTGACTCTCCCTCAGCAAAGAGCCATGGAACACTTATGTTTGTTTGTGTTTTTAGCAGTGTTTCATGGCTACAGAATTAAGGTCGAAGTCCACGAATCAAAACACAACCCTTTTCAGAAACCCAGCTCTCTAGGAAAGCCCGGGGGCTCGGGCTCGATTGAAGAGATAAGGGACCACACCAGCTGCCTTCTCTCCTTGGGCCTGTCCAACGAGGCAAGAACTGAAGACGGGTTGGACAGCCGGTCCCTGGCTCTCTGCTGCCCAGAACCACACAACAGGGATGTGACAGGTCATTTCCATATCCGGGAGCCTCGGCAGTGGGAGGGAAGGCGGCAGGGTGGGGAGTGGGGCGGCCCGGTGTGCGTTTGGGAAGATCACGGACCCGTTGGCTTTTGTCTTCACAGCTGCCCATGGTGTCGGCTGCAGTCCGTTTGGGGCATGGCAGAGATGAGAGGGATGCTCTTGTTACTGCTGTGTGTTTCCCACTCTTCGGCCAGTGAGTGGGGCTTCTTCCGGGCTGGCTTTGGTTGAACGTGTCGCCTGGCTGAGGGGGGATCATCCGGGGCATGAAATTGTCCTGACTGCACAGAGAGGGACAGTAGAGGAATGTCTCACAGCTCTGCTCTGTGCAGCCTGCAGGGTGGTGGCAGCAGGCAGAGACGTGGTGGCCTCAGGAGCCTAGTGAAAGGACTGTCTTTAGGGGAGTGTGGCTAGGGCCATAGACAGAAAGGGCGCCCCTCCCTGCTCACAGCTGCTGCCTGGCTCCTCTTGTGGCCTGGCCCCAGGAGCTGTCACAGCAGGCTCTGGATGCCACCAAAGCTGGCTTTGTCCACTGATTGGGGGTTCGATGGGAGACACAGAGCACCCCCACCTAGGGGGGAACCCTCCACCTAGCCTCAGACTTCTCTTCTCCGATGCCCTCCTTGCAGCCCCAGTGAGCCCAGAGCTTGCCCGGAAATCCACACAGAGGGCCCGGGCCCTCTTCCCTTCTTACAAAAAGTGACAGCTAAGGGACGCAGGGCCAACTTTCCACTCTCCATTGGGTTTCCTCGTACATCCTGGCCTCCCAAGGGAGGTCCGATGAGCGAACGGATTGAGACTGAAAAAGTTAAGTCACCACCCATGCTTAGGTGCCTGCTGGGTTCAGAAGGACCGTCCCTGCCTCTCGCACACCACAGCGCACCAACATCCTAAGAACAACTCAGGCTGAGCGTAGCCCACCTGTCCTCAGGTGGTTCTGCGGCAGTGAATGGCCTTGCAGACATCATCAGCTCTGTCTGTGTTGGGGCGAAGTTCCCAAGCACGAGATGTTTGGTTGACATGAGGTCTTAACATGGTGAGCACCTCTCTGGCCCTCTCATAAAGGGCCGTGACTGTTGTCCCTTCCAAATGGGCCACGTGTGAACCCCAAAGCAGAGGATTTTAAAACGCAGGGATACACAATCGCTCAGTGCCGTGAGTGGCCCCTGGGACATTCCACCCTATGCTCGCTTCCAAGAGAACGGGGAGTGGAAGAGAGTCAATAATTTCTTAGAGAAAGATATTTAAACTATGTGTAGCAGTGGGTCCTGGAAGGAAGGGGTCCTGGGGACCCTCCAAGGTCTCTAGACTAGACTTGGAGAAGTGCTCAAGGACAAGGAAGATTTCATATCTGTCTAGCACATAGGTGCCCCTTTCTTTTCCCTCCCTAGTTGCCATTGGAGTGAACTGCACATGTCTCAGAGTGGGACCGTGTGCCGTAGGGTTCCATGACTGCTTCTGGGGAAGCAGATCGCCAGGCCTGTCGAGCTGTCTTCGGGTGGACTCGATCCTCCGTCCTTTCAGCTTAGCAGCTGAGTGCATTAACCATTGGCACCCCCGTCCCCAGGGCCTGATTCCCAAGGGCTCCACGGCTGGGGGTTCTCACCCGTGGCCTCAGAGATACCACCAAGATCCTGTGGGGGGGGGGGGGGGGGGGGGGGGGGATCCACCAGGACAAGGATTGGGGTGGTAGAAGGAAAGCCACCAGGCTGCCAGGACAGGAGGAGGAGCTGTCTTGAGGCCTGGCTTGGTGGTGGCGGCGGCCCCAGGCAGGCAACTGCTGAGCGGGCAGCAAGGCCCACGTTCCCTCTGCAGAGTGCGGCATCCAGAAAAGCTTACTCTCGGACATTCTCGAGGACAGCTTGGTCCACAGCAAGATGTTCCCGTGGGTGGTGTCCCTGCAGGATTCCCGGTACTCCCACCTGGCTTTCGGCTGCATCCTTAGTGAGTTCTGGATCCTCAGCAGCGCGTCCACCTTTCAGCACAGGCCAGTACCCCTGCTTTTGGGGGTGGGAGGCTGGAAAAAGCGGCTTCTTGGGTCCTGAGATCACTATGGCCAAGGGGGGATGGGGTGGGAGGGGGGCGCAGCCTTATTTTTCTCTGCTGTATAGACGACGGGCCACACAGCTGAAAAGCGGGATGAGGTGTCTTTCATTCTGTAGCTGATTTCTAGACTCGAAGCAACTCAGCTCACTGCCGTCATTCGAGTCCGACTCAGGGACCTATAGCCCAGGGTAGAACTGCCCCTGTGGGTGTCCAAGACTAACTCTTTACAGGAGCAGGAAACCCTCATCTTCCTCCCTCTGAGCGGCTGGTGGTTTTGACTTTGAGGTTAGGCGCCCAACACATAACCACGATGCAAACAGGGCTCCCAGTGACCCTATAGGACAGCGTAAAACTGCCCCAACACGTTTCCCAAGCCTGCCAGTTTTTACAAAGGATTAAAAAAAAACCAGTAAAGATTTAAAAGACAAAACAGAAACCGCTGTGTAGAATCGATTCTGACGGAAGCAGCCTGCCCCAGTTTCCTCCCACTGAGCAGCTGGTGGCTTAGCCGAGCGTTTTAACCACTGTGCCACCAGGGCGCCTTCCATTCTCTCTTTTGTGGGTGGGGTGGGGGGATTGGTTTGTTTCAATTGTGTCAAACTCATGGAGGCATTAACTGGCTACTCGAGGTCCACATTGGCGCAATGGGTTAAGTGTTGGGCTTCGAACCGCAGGGCTGATGAGGCTCCAACTCCCCGGCTGCTGTGAGGGAGCAAGGTGAGATTGTAAAGCGCCGTAGCCTCAGAAACACTCAGGAGCAGGTCTGCTCGGTTCCGCAGGGTTGTTAGACGTTTCATTGACTCGACCACCGCAGTGATGGTTTTTTCAATAGGGGCGAAATCTCCTTAATACACCGCAGCTGGGTTCGTCCTGCAGTCAGATAATTTCTCCTAAAAGACTTCCCTGGGGCCTTAGGGATCCTCCAGCCCCGAATACAAGCAGGCTTGAAGCTCAGTGAGATAGCTTAATTGGGGTGGGGGGGGTTGTGAGTGGGGTCCATGGTTGGTGCGAGCGGGCACTTGATGACCGGCTGAAGGTCACAGCCTTGGCCAACCACTTTACTCGGCACATTTAGGGCTGCCACCAGCCAGGAGCCACTCGGTAACTCACGGTGACAGGAAGTGACTTAAGAAGACTTCCTCCTTCTCCTTCAAGCACCGATAAAGCCATAACCAGATGAAACCCCTAATCTATGGCTGTTGAGAGACTTCTGACTCACAGCCACTTGTGGGCCATTGTCGATCTGCCCCCATAGGAGAGTCAAGGCTGCCACCTCTTGCTCCTGCAGAGTGGCAGGTGGGTTCAAACGACCAACCTTTTGGAGACAAGGGCTCTCACCACCGGTCCAGCAGGCTCACCATTGACTAGGGAACACTCATGGTCCAGGAATTTGGGTCTTCAAACTGCCTGGGGGGCTTCAAAAAGTTCATGGAAAATCCCCATTGTCTTTTAATTCCATGTTTCCATTTTTTTTTCCATGTTTCCATTTTTTACTTTTCTGGGTGGTAGGGGTTTGGTTTTGTTTTCTAATGTCATTGATGCTTGTTTAGGCGATGTGGTGATCTGTTCTGCGACGTTGAGGCTGGCTTCATGGCCTAACGTATACCGTCTATGTGGCTATTTTCTGCAAAGACATGGAAAAGGATTCTCCTAGCTATAAAACTGTCGCAGGCTCAGAGAATGGAATGGGGACTTCTTACATGAAAGGGCGTCTGGCTTTTTCTCCTCAGCTCGTGCCTTTGTGAACACCATCACTCGCAGGAGATATTTATAACGGTGAGATCGTCACTAGGGATGGAATGCTTTATCATTATCAAGGGCCTTTATTTGTCTTGTCTAATGCGTTTTTTTTCTTTTGCTCTGAATTCATCAAGTTTGTTCGATGTGAAGAACGTGACTCTGTTGAACCTTTTTGATGGGAGATTATGCTTTCAGTTTTCAATGCCTCATATTTTTCTTATTCCTATCTGGCCTTTGGTTTGTAGCCCCCATCATATGAATAAATACACTTGGAGATGGACATGTTTGTCTAGTTCCATGGGCACCGCAGAGGTGTAGTTTTAGGTGGTGGTGTTAGGGGCCATCAATGCATGGTGACCACAGACAATAGGACCTGGCATTGCCCAGTCCAGGGCCAGCTTCCTGTTGCAAGTCCACCATGTGGCCAATGGTTATTGAGCGCCTTCTTCTGGCAATATTCTGTTGTGATTCAACAGGAAATAATTCCGGGTACCCACTCACGGCCATCAAATTCATTTCTGCGTGTGGCGACCCTGAATAGGGCGTCGAGGGTGTAAATCTTGAGGAGAGCAGCCAGCCTCATCTTCGTCCTGTGGAGTGGCTTCACCATCTATCCAGTGTTCCCATGTCTTCTAAGATGCGTAAAGCACCTTTCTCTCTGGGCAGGCCTCTCTCCACTCCTTCTGTGGGCAGGTCAGAATTTCCGTCTTGTCGCTTCATCGTTTTAAAAAAAATGATCATATTATTGGGGGCTCTTACAGATATTATCACAATCCATAAATCTATTACATCAAGTGAACTTGGTCATTTCATCTTTTCTCTCTGCTTTCCCTCAATTTTGATAGATTACCCGAGTTTTACTGCTTATCCCTATCTGTTTGTAATTGTACACCATTGTTACTTCAGATATTATCTGTAAATACTGTTTTACTCCTGGTTGTGAAAGGTAAGTGTGCCATGGTAGCGTGGAGTTTATGAGTTGGGCAGCAGTTCGAAACTCCCAGATCTTCCATGGGAGAAAGAAGAGGCTTTCTACCCGGTAAAGGGCCACAGTCTTAGAAATCCACAAGGCAGTTCTACCCGGTCCTATGGAGTCGCTCTGAGTGGGCTTCAACTTGAAGGGCAGAGAGAGTTTTATAAAAGGTTAAAAAAAAAAAAGGATACATTGCTTCCCATTTTCTTTATACCCTTTGATACATCATTTGGTTATTACCGGGATTTGTAACATTTTTATTCAGATCTATAACTTGGAAAAAGTTTTCTTTTAATTGGACTCCAATATTACAGTAGATGCCACACTTACTGACCACCTTTGTGCTGGATGTTTTCATTCCACACTAGCATTGGGTGAAGTTTGTCTCCAGGTTGTTCCTTAAAGGGCCCTCAAGAACTGTATTGTTCTGGTTTTGCATATTCAAATTAAAACATGTTATAATGCTGTCCTTAAATCTGAGCGAGAGAGCGCTGGTGGCGTAGCGGTTATGCGTGGAGCTGCTAACCACAAGGTCTGCAGCTAGAAACCAGCCAGCGCCATGGGGCTTTCTGCTCTTGTCAAGGGGGACAGCCTCAGAAGCTCACAGGCATAGTTCTATCCTGGCCTCCCAGGTCACGGTGAGTCAACGTTGACCCGATGGCAGTGAGTTTTACATCAGAGCGATCACTTACGTATACGAGGGATTACCAAAAACAAAAACGGAAAAAAGGTCCACTAGCCGGAGCCTTCTTAGTACGCATTTCCTGCTAGGTGAGCATTGAGCAACTGGCTCTGAGTTAGTGCACTCAGTGGTGACACCTAGGAAGGTTCTCTCTGGTCACAGTGAATTTTTTTTGTAAAAGCAATTTTGCTTCAACCTCATTTTTTTGAGAGATTTAAGAGAACAATGTGAAATTTTGTTCCCTGCTTGGGAAAAATGCCGCAGAAACGGTTGTGATGTTGAACACAGCTTACAAGGACAGCGCCATGGGAAAAACTCAAGTGTATGAGTGGTTTTCTCATTTCAAAAAAGGCGAAATGTCGATTGATGACAAACCTCATTCTGGATGTCCGTCAACTTCCTGAACAGATGAAAATGTTGACTCGTAGTGCATTTGGAGTTCGTTCCACCAGGTCAGACTGTTAAGCTTTCTATTTAGAGGTTCTGAAAAGATAGCATAACAGTGTGCAACCAAAAAAAAGCCTGATTTGTGGCAGACAGGGGACTGGCTTTGCCACCACCATAATGCACCTGCTCACCAGCCATCTCAGGGCTCCGGTTTTTGGCAAAATACAGCATGCCTCTCTTGCCCCACACACCTTACTCACCTGACCTCGCTCTGTGCAACTTCATTTTGTTTCTGCGAATGCAGAGGGACATGAAAGTACAGCGATTTGAAGAGGTGAAGGAAAAAAAACCGAGGGAGGTGTTGTCAGTTATCCAAACAGATGAGTTTGAAAAATATTTCCAACAGTGGAATTGCAGATTTGACAAATGTATTAAGTATAATGGAGAGTCCTTTGAAGGTGGTAAGGTTGTTTTATTTTTAAAAAAAGTAAATACATAGCTTTGGGGGGGGGAAAATCTGTGTTTCTTTTGGGTACCCCCTCGTAGAATCCATGGCTCACACCTTCTTTTCTTGAAGACAGTATAGGATGACCCCTTGGCTTTGGTTATTACACTTTGCCGAGACCATTGATTTTCCCCTACTAGAAAGAGGGACGAAAGCCTACTACCATTGAGTCTGTTCCAGCTCATAGCAAGCCTCCCGAGGCTTTCTGAGGCTGCAAATCTTTGTGGGAGATGATGATGTTGGGTGCCAGCCAGTTGGTTCTGACTCATAGCGACCCATGGTACAATAGACGGAAACACTGCCCAGCCCTACGACATCCTCACCGTGGCTGTTACGTTTGAGCCTGCTTTTGCAGCCACTGTGCCAATCCATCCGCCAAAGGTCCTCCTCCTCTTCACTGTCCCTTCACCTTACCAAGCAGGATGTCCTTCTGCAGGGACCGGTCTCTCCTGTTAACATGTCTAAAGTACATGAGACAAAGTCTCACCTTCCTTGCTTCCAAAGAGCTATACTTCTTCCAAGAGAGGTCTGTTTGTTCTTTGGGCAGCAGATTTACCCAATGCAGTGTGTTGTTTGATGCCTTGACTCATGATTTTAGGAGCATTGGCTGTGGGTCCAAGCAAGATGAAATCCTTGACACCTTCCTATCTTTTCTCCTTTTATTATGATGTTACTTACTGGTCGAGTTGTGAACGGATCGCCACATCTTTCTCCATCTGGGCAGCTGGTGGGGAGAACCACCACCTTGCTTGAGGTTAGCAATCCAACGGTTACCAGACAATGCTACCAGGGCTAGAAGATGAATGATTTCTATCCACTACCCCAGAATCCTGTCTGAGAACGCTTTTTACGCTTACAAGTCCCTGGGTTGGACAATGAATGGCTTAATAATGGCTTTAAGACAACATATGGCTTAATGATGACATCTTTTTTTTTTTAATTGGGATGCCCAGGGATTCTTTCTTTGTCACTGCTATCTACTAGCTATGCTGGGTCGCTTCCATTTGCCCCTTCAGACCCATTCTCTACCCTTTTCCCCCTGTTCTGTGTACTGGGAGACTGAGCTGTGTGCGTTGCATCAATGAGTCCACTGCCAGTCGCAGGTGGGGAGGACGGGGAGGTCAGGTATCTGAGTCTCTGCAGGCATATTGTGGACAGGGTCTTCTCCAACTAACCAGCTCTCTCTACACAGTGCCGTCAAACCCTTCCCCACCTTAGCCTGGACCACAGAGGCGGCCTCAGCACCTGGCTGTTGTTAGTCCCAAGGTGCTGCATCTGCTTGGGGCTTTTCTACCTTCTGCCCAGACCTTTGTGAAGAGCCCATTTTAGTTAACGCTCCTTAAGTGTCCTCATGTGGGTGACTCACCTGCTTGCTGCAGGGAACTTGACTAGGATGTGACTTGGGGTTGATCACTCTCATTTTTATTCCCGAGAATAGGGACTACTCTTCCAAACCCCAGAGCTAAGTCTCATTGCGGGTCTGGAGAGCTCGACGTGGTGTCTGTGGAATCTGAGTTTTTCGTACATTATCGCTTTAAAAAGATATAAATATCTATCTATCCCGCTTTATTATTTCATGGACAGCCTGAGGGCTATGTTGGTTCTTCTTTAACAGTCACATGCCATTTGGGGGGTGGGGTTCTCTCCTACCTTTAAACAATATTTGCTCCTTTCCATCTGATTTTGGCCACTTTTCTCCATGTGCCTGATTGTTTTCTGCAGTCTCACCCCTGCTTTGTGCGACTTCCCCTTGAGCCTTCATCCCTGGGCTGGGTTTCTTGCCGTCCCTCCCACTTCTTGGCTGAGCAACGTGCCTGCCGGCCCTTGTCGGAACCTTCTCTGCCGCACTGCCTCCTGCTGGCCTGCACACTCCAGGCAGCCCTGCTTCCGAGCGCCAGGGTGGGTGTCTCCAGGGTTTCCTCGTTTTCTGATGCCTGCATTTGTTTCTTCTCCAGACTCGCTGGGTGATTTCTCAGAGCACACGAGGGTAGCACCCAACTGCACTCCATCATTATTAAAACGTGCATTTCTCTAAAGTGAATTTCCACAGGCTAGAGAGGTGGGAAATGCTGGTGTGGGAGTATTAGATGCCAAAGGCAAGAGTCAAGAGTACTTTTTTTTTTTTTTTAAAGAGTACATATTTAGTATGATCACAACTGAGCAAACACTAAACCCAAACCAACCAAACAAATAAACTGAAGCATCACATTAGAAGGTTCTGGAGAGAATGGGAGGAAATGTGGGTCAAAACTCATGATCCTAAAAGAGACCAGGCTTACTGGATGGAGAGAGACTGGTAGAACCCCCCAAGCTATGAGCCTTCAGTCATCTTCCAGGTCAACAACCGAACTCTAACCCGGATTCAAGATCCAAAGGGCAGCATTTACCCAAGAACAAAGTATAGTTTTGAAAGGAGGGATGGAAACAGGAACCCCAGGGAGGAAGTGGGATGGACAATGGTACACTGGGGGGAGAGCAGCGGGTGAGCTGAAACAAACCGGTGCACACTGTTAGATGCAAAACAGGCGGTCTTAGCTGCAAGCCTTCCCCTGATTCACAAGAAACAGTTCCACACTGGGGTGGGGGATGGAAGGCGCTGAGGGTCAACCGGGACGTGTTAACAGATTCTCTTTGGGCCACGTAGCAAATGGTATTAAGATAGAAGACTCCTCAAGATGTCTAAGGGCTCACAAGAAGGGCATGCATCTGGGCTTCAGGGATTTCCTGGAGACTGGGTCTGAAAGGGTGAGTTCAAGCCAGGGAAGAGGAGTCGGAAGAGCCTTCCAGGCCAAGGACTGGTCGCTGTGACTACAGGGAGGTAGGAAGCCCCCACTCTGCCTTGGTTTCTCAAGCTTCGCTTGCTCTCTTTCCAGGAAGAACGTGGTCGTTCTAGTTGGTATAGCTAACATGGACGCCAGAATGAGAGGCCACACAGAGTATCCAGTCAATGCCATTATCCTCCATGAGGCCTTTAATAACCACTCCATGAGAAACAACATAGCCCTCCTGAAGACAGACTCGCCGATGCAGTTCAACGACCTGGTCCAGCCCATCTGCTTCCTCAGCAGGAGGCTGATTAACCCACCAACCTTTCGGACCTGCTGGGTGGCAGGATGGAACCCTACCTCTGCAGTTAATGCCTTCCTTCTCCTAGAGGAAGCTGTGTGTGTGCTAGCAGTGGGGTGACCTGGAGGAGCAGTTTTAGGGCCTTTCTTAGTCATTCGGCTCAGGGGAGGGGCGAGAGTTGGGCTGGAGCCCTTACCCGATTGGCTTTTCTTTGAAGATGCCCAGTGCTTGACCTGTCTGTGGCCATTCTTACTTTGGACCCTTTCCCCTCGAGCTGTTTACTGAAACTGGAAGTTCACAGGCAGAGGACAGCCAGGGCCGAATGCCAGGTCATGGAGGAGTGAGGGGACATTATTCTCTGAACAGGGTGGCTTGTTCTCTCATCTAAGCCATCTTTGTTTTTTGAGTGTGTGTGTGTGTGTGTGTGTGTGTGTGTGTGTCTGTTTATTGCTGTTTGTGTAGTTTTTGCTTGTTTTGTTCATTTGGTAGGGGGCGGGCGGAAATTGGTAGATGTGGAGGGAGAAGGAGTTTGTCCTCCTCTGCCTGGTTTCCTATTCAAGCCCAAAGCAAAGGTGGTGACCGTAGGAATGCATAGGTTCGGGTTTCTATGAGGAAAGGGCATTTTCTACGGGGCAGCTGAGGGACATCGTGTGTCTTCTTGGGACCCATCCCTAAACTCTCCTCTGCCTGGTCCAGACAGGAGAGCACATGACGATGAGTGTCCTCAGGAAAATGCCTGTGAAGAACGTGAAATCGTGCCCGCTAAGCCAGCTTCCGGAAACCGCCTGCTGCACTCACAAAGAGGAGAAAGTGGAGCACATCTGCTTGGTAAGGACGGGACGGAGGAGAAGGGAAAGGCAGGGTGTGTGGCTTGGGGCACTCCAGTGGGAGCCCTGGGACTCTCCCTGGCTGGCCGTGAGCGCCCTGAAGGTAGAGACCACCCTGTGGGACTCCCCTTGGTCTCTGGGGAGGTGGTGGTGAATAGGGCTTGGCAGTTAGCAAGTGCTCAATAAAGCTCTACTGAAAAGACTAACTAGTCGCCCTTTTCAGCGTGATATGGTTCAGCAAGGCCAAGTCATCCGTGTTTTAAAGCTAGCTGCATATATGGAAGTGTGAGTCCTAGCCACACAGACAGAATGCTTTGAGCAAGTCTACCATGGCAGGGGGTGGGGGGGCTCACCACATTGAACCTTATGAACCTGGATTACCCCCCACCCAGGCTGAGGCTTGTCAGTTACTAGGGGCTATTCGAATAAGAAGCCCCTCCTCCCACCCAAATGACAGCGAAACGGATGTGGCTCTCTTGCTAACTCAAGAAAAAGGCATAAAATATGCACGAAGTCTTAGTCTAAGCCTCTTGTGTCTGTACCTGGAGAAAGTATGGCTTGCCAGGTCACATAATTGATCGAAGTTAGGAAACAGACTGGGGAAACGTCTAGTAGATTTATAAGCATCGTTTCATTCTTCTACTCTAAAATTGTCTCTCTAAGATGCTCATCATCTTGTGGTGGTTGGTAGGTGCCATCCCGTTGGCTCTGATGCATAGTGACCCTCTTCACAATAGAAGGGAACTCTGCCCGTTCCTGCACGACCCTTACACCTATCCCTGTGCCTGAGCCCCATTCGCAGCCACTGTGTCAATCATCTCCTTGAGGGCCTTCCTTTTTTAAGCTGCCCCTGTGCTTTACCAAACATGACGTCCTTCTCCAGGGACTGATCTCTCCTGACAACCTGGCCAAAGTACATAAGATGAAGTCTTGCCATCCTTGCCTCTAAGGGAGCACTCTGGCCATACTCGTTCCGAGACAGATTTGTGTGTCCTTTTGGCAGTCCAAGGTACTTTCAATATCCTTCGCCAGCACCACAATTCAAATGCATCGGATCTTCTTCAGACTTCCTTCTTCAGTGTCCAACTTTCACGTGCAATTGAAAATACCACGACAGAGTCAGGCGCACCCTTAGTCCTCAAAGTAACATCCTTGCTTTTCAACACCTGAAAGAGACCTTCTGCGGCAGATTGTTACCCCGTGCAGCAATGCATCTTTTGATGTCTTGACTGCGGCTTCCATGAGCATTGATTGTGGATCCAAGCAAGATGCAATCCTTGACAGCTTCAATCTTATCTCCATGGATCATGATGTTACCTATTGGTCCAGTTGTGAAGATTTTGATCTTCTTTGAGTTGTCATCCATACTGCAGGCTGCAATCCTTGATCTTCATCAGCAAGTGCTTCAAGCCCTCCTCACTTTCAGCAAGCAAGGCTGTGTCATCTGCATATCGCAGGCTGTTAATGAGTTTTCCTCCAACCCACACTCTTCTTCAGATAATCCACCCTCTCTGACAATTTGCTGAACATACAGATTGAATAAGTTTGGTGAGAGGATACAACCCTGACACGCAACCTTTCTTGATTTTAAGCCATCAGTATTCCTTTGTTCTGTCCCCACAACTGCCTCTTGATCCGTGTGCAAGTTCTACGTGAGCACAATGAAGTGTTCTGAAATTCCCATTCTTCTCAAGGTTAGCCATTGTTTATTCTGATCCACATAGTCAAATGCCTTTGAATAGTCAATAAAGCACAAGTAAACACTTTTCCGGTATTCTCTGCTTTGAGCCACGATCTATCTGACATCAGCAATGATAGTCCTGGTTCCACATCGTCTTCTGAGTCCAGCTGGAAGCTCTGGCAGTTCCCTGTCAATGAATTGCTGCAACCATTATTGGATGAGCTTCAGAAAATTTTTATTTGCATGTGATTTCAATGATATTGTTCTATAATTTGAGCATTCTATTGGGTCACCTTTCTTTGGAATGGGTACAAATATGGATCTCTTCCAGTCAGTTGGCCAAGTAACTGTCTCCCAGATTTCCTGGCATAGCTAGTGAGTGCTTCCAGTGCTTCATCAGCTTGTTGAAACATTTACTTGGTATTCCACCCATTCCTGGAGCCTTGTTTTTTGATGGAATGTCTACTAGTTCTTTTGGGGACAGTGACTCTTTTGTTGATGCTTCCTACATCATTCAATATTTTGACAATAGAAGCAAATCATCTATTGCCCTTTAAATAACCTTCAGAACGCCTACAGAGGATCTAGAAGGGCATGGTATTTTTAAGGGAGGTAGAAGATGTCGACAATTTTTATGAAGAAGTCATTTCATCCCTCAACCATGGAGTGCTGCCTCTCTGAGCCAACCCTTCTGAAGTTCCTCCAACACTCACTTGAGCAGGGGCCTGGACCCCTCCCCGGTTCAGGGTCTTAACATTTTCTCAAATCAGACAAAACCTGTTGTCAGTGAGCCCATTTCAGGTCATCTCACCACGGTAGGACAGAGTAGAGCTGCCCCCTATGGTTCCCTGGATGAAGTCCACATGGACACCCGGATCCACATCTTTCTCCCTGGAGCAGCTGGTGGGATCAAACTGGCCAGTTTTCTGTTAGCAGCCACTGTACCCCCGGGCTCCTGGAGTCAGACTAGGTAAATTCCGTAGACGTGGCCATGCAATGAAATTGTGACATGAACCATTCCATCAGCCCAATAACTGGATTTCATCAGCTCTAAGGTGCCCACGTCAATTGTGGGATAAACTGTCATTTTATGGATTCTCCAGAAAGAATGAAAGAAATGCTGCCACTTAAGAACTCGGATAGCTAATGAAAAGACACATTCCAATTTCAAAGATGCTTTAAATTTTTAAGTGTATCTTGGACTCAGCTGACTAAGGTGTTTATACACTAATCAGTGTTTCCTACAGTTGGGGGAACCACACCCTGATGGAGGGGCACTGCACCGATCCAGAGGGGCAGGCTGCAGAAGCTGATACCTCTGCTTTTTCTCGGATTACCAGCTATAGTACAAACGCTCTTAATTGCCAGGGGGCGCTAGTAGATTTGCTCTGAAAAGTGGGCCAGTGGGACAACTAAGTTTGGGAACCTATGCTCTAATGTCTAAATGATCGTCTTTTTAAAATCTTCCTGCAAAATTCGGATGCATTTGTAGCCACTATGCACCTGTAGCTGTTTCTCTGCTTTTGAACGGTTCTGCTTGCAAACTGCCTCAGACGAATGCACCGGGACCTCCCTACCCAGAATTCTCCTCTGTCAGAGGTGTGGTGTTGAGTCCAGCTCCCTAGGGGTCCTCAAAGCCAGCAGGCTAACTATCTGCCTAGTGCAGTGGTTTTCAACCTTCCTAATGCCGTGACCCTTTAATAGGGTTCCTCATGTTGTGGTGACCCACCCCCAACCATAAAATTATTTTCGTTGCTGCTTCATCACTGTAATTTTGCTACTGTTATGAATTGGGTGACCCATGTGAAAGGGTCGTTTTACCCCCAAAAGGGTCGTGACCCACAGGTTGAGAACCGCTGGCCTAGTGTGTCTGTCCAGAAACCATGAAAGGTAGAGCCACGCTGAACCACCCCACCCCCACCCCCACAACAACTGTTAGGGCTTTTGCTGAGTCTCAAGGGAAAAGATGATGTCATGAGAGCTCCCCTCCCCTGGGAGCTGCCGCCTGGTACCTTTTGTCTCTGGCTGATTGCACTTGGAAGCCTCAGCCCCACGAGGGGCATCATGAGAAGTGCAAAAGCAGTGTGTTCTGCCTCCGGTGGTGGTGAGGGGCGTACAAATTGCAAAACCATGCAATAGCGAGGGATGTCCACACAGCCATTCATTAAACTGTTTGTTCTAAATTTCATACCCCGCCCCCTCAAGTTATAGGGGCATATTTTAAAACAAGGTGGGGCTGGGACTGGTGACGGCACCACACCATTCTGGCCAGAGAGCTTCTTTCTCTGCACTAAGCAGGTGTGAAGTGGCAGGAAGGAACCTGCTTCACCAGAACATCCTTAAAAAAAAAACCTGGCGCTTGCCAACTGGGTGCTGGCTCATGACAACCTCTCTGCGCATAGCAGCGCAGGGTTTGGAAGCTGTGACCTTCCGCGGTCTTTCTTCAGACACACCGCGGGGGGGTCCGTTTGAACTGCCCACCTTTCCTAAAGGAGTCAAGCACCTAACTGCTAGCACCGCCCCGCGAGGGCTAGCCAGCCAGATCTCCCGCACCGTCTCCTCACTGTGCTGCCCCGCCACTGTTGGGCAGCAAGGGGGGAGACTAGTAGAGGATGCACAGCTGAAAGGCTCAAGATAGCATCCTCCAATGCCACGGCCTTGGCCTTGGCCGTCTGAGCAGTGCCAGATGCCCCAACCAGCAAGGTAAGCATGGCCTTATTTGTGCTTACTAGACTGCAGTGAACAAATGTGCATTCCACTCCCCCTCACCTCCACATCAGAATCTGCAGGTAGGTCTGGCCTTCTCTCTCCCAGCCCCACAGCACCTTCAAAGTCCTCTTTTCAAAACACAGTCCCCGGGGCAGGACAGAGCGCTCAGTCAACACGGTCAGCTCAGGCTTACTTGTGCTTCCTTACCAACCTGTAGCGAATGGTTTTACCTGTCTTTTTGGAATCGTGTCAAGTGTTCACCAAAAAAACAAAAACATGTAGGGAAACGTCAAAACCCAAAACACATGAACTGCTCGCGACAGATTATTAGACACAAGGAAGCCTGTGCTTACTTGCATCCGGGGTGATCCGCCCCGCTTCTGTGGGATCACCAGGCATTGCCGCAGCTGTGCCTCCCTGCTGCCATGCTCTGCAGGGCTTCTCCTCTCCATCCCCGGCTGCCTTCCTTGTTGGGCGGTGTGACTTCCTCAGAAAGAGGTGGACGATGGGAACCCCAGAAAGACCGGAGGCCGAGGCCTCAGCACAGGCAGGGGCTGCTTCTGTTTGGTGAGTCTGTTAGACCATCCCCTGCTGCCTCTGCACTCCCTCTGGGGCCCCATCCAAACAGGCGGGAGCTACATGGGGGAGTGAAGCTCTTCCAGCCAGAAAGCTGCACTGGAGACGACGGCCCTTACCTTGGGCCGCCTGGAAGGGACATCCCTCTTTAACAGGGGTCTCGTGTGTGCAAAGGTCTCTGGGTGGTACAAGTGGTTTGTGTTCCGACTCTTTGGCCAATTGGCAGTTTGAAGATGAACTCAAAAAATAAAAAGGTGTGGGGAGGAGGCCCCCCCTTCCAGGGGGACGAACAACAGAAACCATGGGGGAAGGGAGACAGCGGTCGGTATAAGATATGCAAATAATAATAATAATTTACAATGTATCAAGGGATCACGAGGGTGCGGGTATGGGGGAGGGAGGGAAAAAAAGAGGAGCTGATCCCAAGGGCTCAATAGAAAGTAAATGTCTAGAAAAGAATGAGGGCAACCTATGTACAAATATGCCTGATACAATTGATGTCTAGATTGTTATAAGTTATGAGCTCCCGATAAAATGATCTTTGACTAAAAACACAGAAAGGCTCACTTCCATCAAGACGATGCTGACTCATAGTGACCGTATAGGACAAGGGAGAACTACCCTGTGGGCTTCTCAGACTGCCAATCTCGACAGGAGTAGGAAGCCTCATCTTCCGCAGAGTGGCTGGTAGTTTTGAATCACTGGATTTGCAGTTAGCAACCCACTGTGCCACTTGGGAGAACGATGAGGCTTTCTGTTCCCATGAAAAGTGAGAGTCTTGGAAACCCACAGGGGCAGTTGTGCGCTGGCCTGTACAATCGCTCTGGGTCGGCAGGGGCTCGGCGGCAGTGTGTTTGAAGTGAGGAACCTTTAGGGGGTTCCGTAGGTGCTCTGAATGTGCATGTGGGCAGCAACGGTTTGTGTCTCCACTAACGGGGGAGCCCTGGTAGTGCAGGGGTTAAAGCACTCAGCCGCTAACTGAAAGGTAGGCGGTTTGAACCCATGACCTATCCACTCGTGAGGAGCAAGATGTGGCAGTGTGCTTCTGGGAAGGTTATAGTCTTGGCCACCCTGGGGGCAGTTCCACAGTCGGGAGATAGGAGTTGAGATAGGCGTTGGAATCAACTCTACAGTAATAGGTTTACTCCCACTCTAGCCCTGGGTCACAGTGTCACCTAAGCTAAGGGAGAATTCTGCTCCCCTGGGAGCTGGGAGGCCAGGAGCAGGGCCAAGGCCAGCAAGCAGGTGGAGTAACAGGAAGTGCCAGCTATAAAGCTGTGGATCTGCCCAGAAGCTCGGCTTGGATGCCACAGGTCTGGGTGTGGGAGGGAGCAGCTTCTTCTAAGGCTGGGCCCAGGTAGAGACCAAAAGGGAGGGGGTTGTGGAGCCTGGTAGAGACCAGGGTGGAAAGGGCGGATCCCATAGCCTCATTGAGGAGTAAGGAACCAAACGAGGGGGAAGGACCCGGTGAAGGTTTTGGAAGGAAGGAAGCGAGGGAATGAAATGCAAACTGCAGAGATCCATATATAACGTGAATAAAAAGATAAAAGTCGTCCTATTGGAATTTGTAGGGGCTGTTGCCTATGCCTTGATTTAAAATAACCAAAAAACCAAACCCACTGCTGCGGAGGTCAATTCCGATGCCATTACAGCTCAACATAAGGTGGTCCAACCTGTCATTCTCTTCAGGAGCAGACAGCCTCATCTTCCTCCCGAAGAGTGGCCCATAGGCTTGAACTGCCAACCTTAAAGTTAGCAGCTCATCGCCTAACCCACAGCGCCCATTCCCCAGGGAGAATCCATGTTAGACATGTCTAATGGTACCAGTCTATCTTGCCAAATTTGCTTTCCCCATTATTTTTCTTGTGTACCCAGCAGCACAAGGATCTGTTTTTTAAAGCAGCAGCAGCAGCAGCCAATGTTTCTAAGACCTGAAGCCTTCTGTCCTTTGTCACAGGGGGACCCAGGAAACCCAGTGATCTGCGAGCTGCTGCAACAGGACCTGTGGGTCCTCAGAGGGGTCCTCAATGAAGGCGGTGAGCAATGCACGGGCCCGTTTGTGTACACCAGGGTAGAACACTACAGCGACTGGATCTTGGAGGAGTCTGACAGGGTCGGCCCCAGCCTCAATTCCCTCCGGCACTGGGAGAAGGTGACCCTTCCCTCCATGGATCTGAAGGACATCAAGCCACCGAGGACACATGCTGGCCACCCCGGAAGGGTTCACGTGCCCTACCATAAACCAGCCTGGCACGCTAGGCATTTTCTGCCAGGAAAACACGCTAGAAACAATCTCTACTTTCGGCCACCGGGCCTGAGGGAGGCAGGCCGGAGCTCGGACTTAGCCATTCAGCCGATGTACTATGACTACTACGGTGGGGAGTCGGGGGAAAGGGGCACCACCTCACGCCACAACGGCTGCTGTCGGACCCGAGACAACATGTTGCTTTGCCTCCTGCTGCTTCTCCTTTGCAGTGGGACCTAGGCTAGGACCCGATCCACCCATCTCGAGATGCCAGGTGGCAGGTCCTCACCAGGCTGTGTGGAGGATGCCTAATTTTGTCTGTTTGACAGGCGCACCTCTGGGTGGCCACGGGCACATACTGGGCTGCCCCCGCCACCCCACCCCACTTCTTTCCCATCCCACACGCGGGAAGGTCACCTCCGTTTGTGCTTGTGAACTAAACGTGGGCTGACAAGTGTCGAACCATTGGCGTGTGCCCTGTGATTCTTTCGAGACTGACGTTTTGCCGGGGCCGGCCTGTGAATGCTCTGCACGACAGCTGTGGCCCAGGGACGTGGGGGGTGGGGGGCAGCTTGGCTGGAGAAGTGGGGGAACCCATCAGCCCAGAGAGCAGTGAGGGGACCCCATGACTCAAAAAGAACCAATTACTTTAATAGGTCACTTTTGGGGGGCTGCAGTTGTGGCCCAGGGCCTGGTCTTCCTCTGGTTACTTCCCAGAGCTAACCATCTGCAACTGTTCACACGTGGCTTTCATTTTGTTCCAAGCCTTGCGGTAGCCTTTCAAGGACATCTGCAGGGGAGAGGGGGCAGAAAAAAGGAAAAAGCCGGGGGTGGGAGGAGAAGGTCATTTAGTACTGATTGTGACCATCCAGAGTGTAGCCTTTCCTCCAGCCCTGCTGATGGTGTGAGTGACCCCGTGTGGGGCAGGGCCCTGCGGTGCAGCTGGGCAGGGCTGACCACGAGCAGCACGCATCCAGAAAATGTCTAAGGAGTCAGACGCTCCTTTCCCAAAGTGGCAGGCTGCAGGTGATTAGTGGCATGGTGGCTACTTCTCAGCTCCAGATGTGGCCCACGCTTGAAGCCCCACTCATACCCTCTCACCATGTGATCATGGGAAATACAGGAGAAAGTGCCGTGGGCCCTGCACTGGGGCCAACATGTGACAGTGTGGACTGGGCGCCTGCTCCTTTGAGGGGTCACCTGAAGGGGTTTGAAAGGCGCCCAAATAGTGACTTCAGTGGCAGCCTGCTCTGTGACAATCTCAGCACTTTCCTGCCTTCTGAGGCCAGCATGTCGGGCCCACATTGCAAGCTTCTCTTCCGAGGCTCACAGGAGCCCAGCGCTATAGTGCACACTGCCTCGTCTCAGGCTGCAGGATTAGTGAAAAATGAAGATGCAGTGTGGCTGTGGACATGCATGGAATTGGGTGATATTAAAAATCCATTATTATCTCAATTGTGTTAAAAAAAATCCAAGCCCAAACTGGCTTATCCATGTATTCAGTAGCAATCATTAAATTACCCATGGGGGAAGGGATTCATAAGCTTCCAGAATTCATGAACACAAGCCATCAAAAGCATATTGCTCTAGAGCAGTGGTTCTCAACCTTCCTAATGCCGCGACCCTTTAATATAGTTCCTCATGTTGTGGTGACCCCCAACCATAAAATTGTTTTTCATTTCTACTTCATAACTTTAATTTTGCTACTGTTATGAATCGTCATGTAAATATCTGATATGCAGGATGTATTTTCATTGTTACAAATTGAACATCATGAAGCAATTAAAGCATAGTGATCACAAAACAATATGTAATTATATATTGTGAAACATTTCTGTCTTCCTATGGTCTTAGGCAGCCCCCATGAAAGGGTCATTTGACCCCCAAAGGGGTTGGGCATCCCCCAGGTTGAGAACTGCTGCTCCAGAGTCTCTCCCTGGCACCTGAAAAGACTGTGCTTCTTGCCATCAGACAAGGGCTGTCGAGACAACAATCGAGCCTTGTTTTGGTCAAATGAAGCAACTCAGGGGTCCTCAAACTTTTTAAACAGGGGGCCAGTTCACTGTCCCTCAGACCCGTTGGAGGGCCGGACTATAGTTTACAAAAAAAAAACAACTATGAACAAATTCCTATGCACACTGCACATATCTTATTTTGAAGTAAAAAACAAAACGGGGCAAAAACACCTGGCGGGCCGGATAAATGTCCTCGGCGGGCCACATGTGGCCTGCGGGCCGTAGTTTGAGGGCGCCTGAAGCAACTGCTAAGATTTCTCACAGACATTCTTAGCACCTGTATTCTTATCCTGAAAAAAAAATAGGATCCCGGCTTAAATGGAGAGCAAATGTTTTGAGAATGAGGAGGGCAATGAACAATGAACGTACAAATGTGCTTTACACAATTGATGTATGTATGGATTGTGATGAGTTGTGTGAGCCCCTAATAAAATGATTGGGGAAAAAAGGATCCCAAGCAGAAAAGCCCAGGGGAAAAAAGCGTGCCCCTCTGGGGATTCTGCTGTAACTCACCTCCATGATCTCCACCTTCCTTTCCCAAGTCTTGATGTTCTTCTCCAGCCCCGCATTCACGATCTTCTCCTGGACGTACATCATCACAGGGGGCGCTCGGAACTCGGCCAGCTGCTTCCGCAACTTCTTGTTCACATACTCGACTTTGGCCCGGGCCTGGGTGGGGAAAGACGATTCAACCTAGGAAACCCCAGAAGCTCTTTCTTTGAAGACTTTTCAACAAGTGTGTCAAGACCATTCAATGAGTAGGGGTGGGGTGGGGGGTAGGGATTGTCTTTTCAACAACAACAACAACAACAACCATCTCTTCTTTCCATTCCAGGAAAGATCATTCAGAACAACTGGACATTCAAACATTTTAAAAATATACATTTTAAAAGGACCCTTATCTCACACCAAAATTAACTGAGAATATGGATCAATGACCTAAAAGGTTAAAATTGTAAGACTCTAGAAGGAAACATGAGTGTAAATCATTATGACCTTAGAAGAGTCAACATTTTCTTTAGATGCACTGTGCAACACTAAATAGCATAAATGGCCAAAGAGAAACTTGATAAATTGGATTTCATCACAATGTACGCTACACCTAATACATTCAAGGGGGGGAAAAAACCAACGCGTACAAGGGGAGTAAATATTTGTAAATCATAGATCTGATGAGATGATGAAAGCCTTGAATCCAGACGATATAAGAAATTGGCATTTCGTTAAAAAGAGAGAAATACCATAAGCATACAAGTATAAGCTAGAGAAATAAGAGCTGTGTCATGAAGAGACACAAGCACACATATGTTCTTTGCAGCATTAGTCCCACTAGTAAAAATGGAAACAAGTGTCCATTGATGGATGAACGGACAAACAGATACATATGCACAATGGAATCAGGAATAATGATGAATCTGTGAAACATCATATATCATGGGCATTGAGTGAAGTAAGTCACAAAAGGGCCAATATTATCTGAGCCCCCTATGATGAAGGTCAAGAATACATGTCTTAGTCCAGCAACTTAGCTCTGCCATCGTGAATGAATGTTACAGAAAGTTTTGCGCTATCTCCAGCCCTCATTTTTTGCACAATGTCCAGTCAATGAAGTTTTTAATCGATACAGGTCAACAATCTATGTATGTTAGTCTAAAAAGCTGTCCTATACATATATACTTTCCTCTTCTCAATAGTATTTTAAATTCTATATCATACGCTAAATTAATGATTTTGTCAATAAAACTGCCATATTGTGAAACTCGTGGGGTTGATTTATAATGATGTGCAATAAAATGATAAGGATGTCTCTAAAGTGGACCAGGGACATAAATAAACCATAAATATATTAAAGAATTTTGAACTTGTACTTAATCAGAACCCTAATCAAATAATTAGGTCTTATGATGTGGTCCTACTTGAACTTGCCCTCATGAAGAGGTCTCACTGAAGATATGAGTGCTATAGCAAAGTGTGGTGAAGAAACCAGATAGTGCCCGACTATCAGAAAGAATAGCGCCTGGAGTCTTAAAGGCTTCTCTTAAAACAAGCAGCTATCGAAGTCCACACAGAAGCAGCACATCAGCCTATGTGATCCAAGGATTAGAAGTAATAAAATCCAAGACCAAAGGAGGGAATGGTATTAGAGCTTAAATTCTGAGCGCCCAGGTTGCAGAAGGCTATCTACGACAGTAAACGCCCAAAATCCATTTGCTGCAGGGTCCCGACTTAGATTAAACCTCTGATGAATCCCGTCAGACCGTTGACCCGGGGGGTTGCGGGGGTGGGGAGACAGGGGGGGCAGGATGTGAGCAGCCGTGCTATCAGACAGAGGGCATTGAAAAGTGGATGGTGTAGATGTAGTTACGTTCAAATGTAATGCTTTATCATTCTCCCTTTTGACTTATTTTAAATTTGTTCTAATTTTTAATATTTTCTGCTTTCTTTTCTATAGATGTTTTTCTCAGTTTTATTTTGTTATTAATGATTTTGTTTTGTTTCTTTTTCTATATATGAAATCCAGAATAGGTAAATCTATAGAGACAGTAACTGGATTGTAGTTTTGTAGGGTTCTGGCAGGGGAGGTTGGAGCGGAATGGGGAGCTAAAAATGAGTACAAGAAAAAAGATATTCTAAAATTGATGATGGTGATGATTGCACAACTTTTTAATATGATTAAAATTTGAATTATATAAATTATATACCATTAAATAAATTAAATAAAGATAAATAAAGGCAATAAGATGTTTAATCTGACATGATATGGATGGATGTGAATGAACCCAAATGGCAGTAGCAACAGCCAACTTAAACCTTGTAGAATATAAAAAATATAAGGTAAAGAGTAGTCTACATCCAGAAAGAAATATGTCTTGATGGTTACCGAAGACAGGGTGGAGGGGGAATTAGATAGTACATATGTGTTAATTCTGGTGAAGGAAAAGACAATGTACAATATAGCTGAAGTCAGTACCAGTGACCAAAGCACAGGCACTGAAAGGTAAGCCAAACCGCAGGGCAGCTACAGTAACCATTGCAGTAACCATCTGCAATATGCAGACAACACTCCTTGCTTGCTGAAGTGAGGAGGACTTGACACTGCTGATGGAAACCAAAAACTGCAGCCTTCCGTATAGATTGCAACATAATGTTAAAGAAAAACAACCCCAAACTCACAGCTGGATCAATAGACAACATCTTGATAAATGGAGAACACATGGAGTTGTTTAGGACTTCATTTTGCTTGGATCCATAATCAGTGCTCATGGAGGCAGTCAAGAAATCAAATGCCTTGCATGGGGCAAATCTGCTGCACAAGATCTCTCTCAAGTGTTGAAGACCCAGGACGGCACGTTGAGGACTGAGGCGCTCCTGACCCAGGCCCTGGCGTTTTCAGTCCCCTCGCGTGCACCTGAAAGTTGGAAAACGAATAAGGAAGACTGAAGAATGGATGCATTTGACTCTGGTGTTGGAGACGAATACTGAAGGTACCCCGGATGCTAGAAGAACAAACAAATCTGTCTTGGAAGAAATATGCTAGAATGGCCCTTAGGAGCCAGGATGGTGACCCTTTGCCTCACTAAGAAGAGAGCAGTCCCTGGAAAAGGACACTAAAGTATAGGGTCAGTGACAAAGAGGAAGACCCTCGGGAAAACGGAGACGGCGGCCTCCGCCATAGGCTCAGACATAACAAAACCTGTGGAGATTGCATCGCACCAGGCAGTGTTTGGTTCCGTGGTACATAGAGTTGCTATGACTCAGAACTGACGTGGACACCTAAGAACAAAAACAACACAGTAAGTGCTATCACACATACAATCCTACAGCATAGTGATAACAAACAATAATAATTTGTGCATGGGTACACTGGTAAATAGGCATGCTCAAAATATGATGGACATAGTATGAGAGGACGCCTGTGTACATATATAGGTATACTGTGTACATATATGGGTGTGCTGTGTACATTATGGTATGGTTGCAGGTATTTCTCTATATAAATTTGTAAATGCTGCTCTGATATAATAGAACCATACAGGAGGCACAGTTACAGAAGCTACTACTTAGACATCGAGGCTGAACTACTAGTCTCAGTCTCAGGGGACATCTAGGCCAATTGGCAAAGCAGTTCATTAAGATAATGTTCTCTATTCCATTCTGGTGAGTAGTGTCTGGGGTTTTAAACATTTGTAAATAGCCATCTGAAAAGCATCAATTACTCTCTTCCCTCCTGGAGCAAAGGAAAATGAAGACAACCAAAGATTCAAGGAAGCACTTAGTCCAAAGGATTCAGCGCAAATGGACCAGCAGTCTCCTCTAACAGAAGACCTGAAGCACTAGATGGTACCCTTCTACCACTGCTGACTACTATGACCAGGATCTCAATAGAAGGGCCTGGTTAGAATGGGTTAAAACACACAGAACAAAGTTCAAATTCAAAAGAGAAAAGAAACACCAGACTGACCAGTCTGAAAGAGACTGGAGGGACCCTCAGACTCTTGCCTTAAGACAACGAATTTGAAACTAAAGACATTCCCAGAGGTCAACCTTCCGCCAAATGATAAACTGGCCTATACAATAAACAAGGACACCTTTAAGGAATGCTCTCCTTTAAAAAGTCAGCTATCTGTGAAACCACAATGACCGTCTTTGTCAAACATCAAAGATGAGCAGGCAGAAAGGAAAGCCAGACAAATGGAATCAGAGGCCAAAGAGAGGAAATAAGGCGAGTGATGACCCAGTGCAGGGGTCTATGCTAGTGATGGGGCTGCAAAACGGGGCAGCCACGAGCGAAGATGGGATGGCACCGTGTGAAAAAGCTACACATAGAAATGCCACGTGATCCTGCAAGTCCCGCCCCTCGGGATGTACACTTTCGCCTGAAACGCAATAAAACTTGCTATGTGAAAATCCCACTTACAGCACAATGAATGTTCCAAAAGGAAAGAATAGAAATGGACTTGTATGTTTGGAAACCTGTGACAATAAAGGGTGGTGCTGACTACTCTGGAGTGGCCGAGAGCAGAAGGTTGGTGATGATTGAAGACATTCATGTTTTGGGACTGTCACCAAGTCTTTCTATTTAAAAATATATACTGTGTAGTCATTACGTACCACTATCGATCTACAGTTGCTTGCTTTTTGAAGGAGATGACTCATAAAGGAGGAAATAATCAAGAGAGAGAGAAACAAGGGATCTAAGACATTTTTTCTACAGAGATGATAAGACATTAAATATGCAAGAAACATAGGGGAAAGTGCTGAACATCATCACTCATTAACCTAAAAAACAAAAAAAAAAACCCACTGCCATGGAGTCAATGCTGACTTACAGCAACCCCTGTGTATTTCTGAGACCGTAACTGTTTGTGGGAGTCGAAAGCCCAGTCTTTCTCTCTAGGAGTTGCTGGTGGTGTCAAACTGCCAATCATGCAGATCACAGCCCAATGCATAACCACTACACCACTGGGGCTCTCTCATTGGTCTTTAGGAAACTACAAATCAAAGTGAGAGGCCACTCACATCCACTGTTGTTAGGTGCCATCGAAGCAGTTCTAACTCATGGCAACCCTATGCACAACCTAACAAAACAATGTCTGGTCCGACACCATCCTCACAATTGTTCCTCTGCTTGGATCCGTGTTGCAGCCACCATGTCAAAGCATCTCCTCAAAGTTCTTTCTCTTTCTCGCTGCGCCTCCACTTTACCAAACATGATGTCCTTCTCCAGGGACTGATCTCTCCTGACAACCTGTCCAAAGTACATGAGATGAAGTCTTGCCATCCTTGCCTCTAAGGGAGCACTCTGGCCATACTCGTTCCGAGACAGATTTGTGTGTCCTTTGGATACTCTCTACCCACACCACCATTCAAACGCATCCATTCATCTTCAGTCTTTCTTCCTTCCGTCTCCAACTTCCGTGTGCACTCCAGGCAATTGAAAATGCCATGACTTGAGTCAGGGGCACCTCAGTCCACAAAGTAATAGCCTTGTTTTCCAACACCCTAAAGAGACTTTGTGCAGCAGATTTTACCTAATGCAATGTGTCTTTTGATGTCTTGGCTGCGGCTTCCATGAGCATTAATTGTGGATCCAAGCAAGATGCAATCCTTGACAACTTCAATCTTTTCTCCCTTGATCATGATGTTACCTATTGGTCCAGTCATAAGGATTCTTGTCTTCTTTACATCGAGTTGTAATCCATACTGACAGCTGTAATCCTCGATCTTCATCAGCAAGTGCTTCAAGTCCTCCTCACTTTCAACAAGCAAGGCTGTGTGATATGCATATCGTAGGTTGTTAATAAGCCTTCCTCCGATCCTTTGGCCGCATTCTTCCTATTATCAGTTTCTCTGATTATTTTCTCAACATACAAATTAAATAAATACTGTGAGAGGCTACAACCCTTATGCACACCTTTTCTATCTTTAAACCATGAAGTATGTCCTTGTTCTATTCACAAAACTGCCTCTTGTACAAGTTCTGCATGAGCACAATGACGTATTCTGCAATTTCCATTCTTCTCAAGGCTATCCATAGTTTGCTATGATCTGCACAGTTGAATGCCTTGGCAGAGTCAATAAAACACAGGGAAACATCTTTTTGGTACTCTCTGCTTTCAGCCAAGATCCATCTGACATGAGCAACGGCAGCCCTTATTCCACATCCTCTTCTGAATCAACCTGAATCTCCGGCAGCTCCCTGTCAATGTCCCGAGGCAACTGTTCTTGGATGGTCTTCACCCACAAACTAAAATTGAAAGAACAAACAGATAACAAGCGTTGGTGAGGATGTGGAGAAACTGGAACTCTCGTGGCTGATGGGAATGTAAAATGATGCACCACGTGCAAACATTTTTTTTATAATTTCTCAAAAATGTTAAATACAATGTCACCATGCGTTGTTGCTTGATTCAGTGCTGTGGCGTCCATTGTGCCTTGTCCCAATCCCATGAACAACAGAACGGAACGCTGTCTGGTCCTGCGCCATCCTCACAATCATTTCTGTGGTTGAGCCCATTGTAGCCACTGTGTCCATCCATCTCTGGAGGGTCTTTATCTTTTTCACTGACCTTCTACTTTTTGAATCATGAGATCCTTCTCCAGGGACTGGTTTCTCCTAATGACATGTCCAAAGTCTATGAGACAAAGTCTTGCCATCCGTACTTCTATGGGGCATTCATGCTGGCTGTACCTCCTCCAAGCTTTGTTTGTTCTTCTGGCAGTCCGCGGAATATTCCATGCTTTTCATCAATGCCACTGTTCAAGGGTATTCATCCTTTACTCTTCCAAATTAATTGCCCGCTTTTGCATGCATTGAGGCGACTGAACACATCCTGGCTTGGGCTTAACGAGATTTTCTGCAGCAGATTTGCCCAGTGCAATGCATTGTTTGATTCCCTGGACAGTGGGTGTAGAGTCAAGTCAAATAAAATCCTTGGCAACTTCAATCTTCTCTCCATTTATCGTGATATTTTCTATCAACGGATCCAGGATTTGGGTTTCTTTATGTTGAGGACTTGGGTTTTCTTTATAGTGAAAGCTACTTAAGGCTATAGTCTTTGATCTTTATCAGGAAGTGCTTCAAGTCGTCTTTGCTTATGTCACCTGTACATTGCACGTGCATTGTTAATGAGTCTTCCTCTAATGCTGTGCCACTTTTTCTTCATACAGCATCTCAGATTATGTGCTCAGCATACAGACTGAACAAATGTAGTGAACACAACCCAGAACCACACCTTTCCTGATACAAAACAATTCAGTATACCCTTGTTCTGTTTCAATGACTGCCTCTTGGTTTGTGTACAGGATCCACTTGTGTACAAAATTCAGTGTTTGGAAATTCTCATGCTTCGCAATGTGAATGTGTTATGAGCCACACAGTTGAATGACTTTGCATAGTCAACACAAGTAAACATCTTCCAGGTATTCTCTGCTTTCAGCCGCAATCCGCCTGATATCAATAATGCTATCCCTGGTTCTGTGTCCTCAGTTGAACCTGGCTTGAATTTCTGCTCCTGCTGATGTATAACTACAACCTTCCTTTGAATTTTCTTCAGGAAAACTTGACTTGCGTGTGGTATTCATGATAGGGTGCAATAATTCCACATTCTGCTGAGTTACTTTTCTGTGGAAGGGGCACAATATGGACCTCTTCTAGTTGGAAGACTGTCTGCCAAATGTCCTAGCATAGATGAGGGAGCATTTCCAGCCCTGCATCTGTTGGTTAAAACATTTCAACTAGTAACCCATCAATTCCCGGAGACTTGGTTTTGGCCAGCGCCTTCAGTGCAGCGTGAACTTCCTTCAAGATCATCAGTCCTTAATAATATGCTACCGCTGGAAATGGTTAAATGTCAACCAATTCTTTTTGATAACAGTGACTCCGGATTCCTTAAATCTTCTTTTGATGCTTCCTGAGGTATTCAACATTTTATTCATAGAACCTTTCAGTGTTGCAACTTGAGGCTTGATTTTTTCTTCAGTTGCATTCAGAAAGTGAATTAATGCAGATACAGTTTGGTTAAAATTTTCCTTTAACCCATTCTAAATTTGTTTTAGTTTTTATTATTTTCTGCTTTCTTTTGGATTGAGACTTTTCTGTACTTTAATTGGTTACTGTTGTTGGAGGTTTGGGGTATGAGTTTCTTCATATTAAATCCAGGATAGGAAAATCGATAGAAACGGTAACTAGAGGAAATGTTTCTTAGGGTTATGACAGGGGAGGTTGGGAGGAGAGGAGGAGCTGATAAGATTAAGTACAAAAATGAAGAAAATGTTCCACAACTTACTGTGGTGATGATCACACAATTTCTTTAATAGATTCAAATCACTGAATTGTATGGAACATGAATTATAAGTCAATAAAATGGTTTTTAAAAATTGTCCCCACCCCCCACCTGAAATAGAAATCTCATCAACTCACATTTGATACAGAGTTGTCGTAGCTTTGCAAAACATTGTTGGTTTTTAGAGAAGTGAAGACTCATATAATTCTCCTGACTGATCTCTTACTTGCTCTAAAAGACTGTTGTCTAATTGACTCTCCTTAACACCACAATAAAATTCAGTTAGTAAGGTTAAAATAATCATGTGATCTCCAGTGTCATTTTTATCATTAAAACCATATTTTCCAACTGTTTATCCTTCTTCTTTGTTTCCAGTTTTCACATTCTAACCACCAGTTTGATCAATTTCAGATGCAGAAGTTGGTTAAAAAAAAAATCTTCAATTTCCTCAACTTTAGCATTAGTGGAGTTTGTGTAAATTTGAATAGTCATATTAACCAGTTTTCGTTATAGGTATGTAGATATTATTCTACAAATGACAGCATTATACTTCAGGATAAATCTTGAAATAGTAAACCACATGATTGCTTCAAAACGACCATACCAGTCTATTTCAGCCCAATACTAACAAGGATATCGATCTTTATGCATTCCATTTCATTTTTGACAATTTCCAATTTTCCTAGATTAATATTTTGTACATTCCTATTAGTGATGGATGTTTGCAACTGTCTCATCTCATGTTGTTGTGCCATATAAGCCAATGAAGGTCCCCCAAATTCACAGCCAAATAAAGAGCCAAATAATCCTGTAGACATAGGAGCTCAGATGACTCGACCCACTATCTTGCCAGTGACCACAGACCCTAGGCTGAGCCCAGGACGGAGCCCAGCTCTGCCATCCTTCAGTCAGTCTCTGCCTAGGCCAGTGGGTCTCAACCTTCCTGATGCCACGACCCTTTAACACAGTTCCTCATGTTGTGGTGACCCCACAGCCATAAAGTTATTTTCATTACTACTTCATAAAGGTGATTTTGCTACTGTTATGAATCTGGCAACCCCAAAGGGGTCGCGACCCACAGGTTGAGGACCGCTGGCCTAGAGGCTTCTCTCACTGTGAACATCCACGACTAAATGAGAGCTATGTGTTTAAAGACTCGCTCGACCTAATGCCGGGGGCTTAAGTGGAGAGGAAATGTTTTGAGAATGACGAGGGCAGTGAATGTACAAATGCGCTTTACACAATTGATGTATGTATGGATTGTGATAAGAGTCATATGAGCCCCTAATAAAATGATTTTTTTAATGGGAATGATAAACACATTGGTTGTTACACTTCCACTTTGTTGTTACACTTACACTTTATGTAAAATGTGTTTTGACATGCATCCTTTTTCTTACAGAAATTACATCACTTCTATGTCTAATATACTTATTATGGGGTTGCAAATTCAAACTTTTAATACCACGCTTTATGGGCCAGTTAACGAATTCTTAAGTGTTATTTGGACTCTACCTGAGCCTACTCAAGAGCCGAGTCCTGCAGCAAAATAGGGAACTCCGGTGCTGAAAGTCTTCACGCGTCGCCTTCTCCCTGGTGACTCAGGGCTGTTTTTATTTTATGGTCTAGGCTTTTCCAGAGAACAAGTCAAACTGGGTTGGATCTTAACGGGCCTTCCCTTGAGTCAGAAGGAGACAGGCATCAGAAAAGGCCGGTTTTTACCAGAGAGTCCTACCTCTTCGGCGTGTATCGTTTCTCTTGCCATTTTGTCCATTAACTCGTTTCTCAGCACCATCTCCCTGTCCAGACTGCAGGACATTTCCAGTGCCTGATGAAGCTTGCCCTGAAATATAAAAACGCAGCACGCTGTGAGCTAGAAGACCTCCCAGAACTGCAGGGAGGGTGGTCAGCTCTTGGTGGGACTTGGGTCTCCCTTACTCACAGTGTCCGAATCTTGACAACTGGGACCAGGACTGCTGGTGGGGGAGGAAGCAGGAGGGTCTCGGGAGTCTTGTCCTTACCGGGGAGGCAGTGCAGTCAGACACACAGGCACCCAAATCCTGGCCCCACCACTTACACAACTTGATCAGGTCCCAAATCCTAAACTTGGTCACCTTGTGTGGAACCCTGGCGGCTTAGTGGTTACACATTGGTCTGCTAACCACGAGGTCAGCAGTTTGAAACCACCAGCCGCTCTGAGGGAGAAAAATGAGGCTTTCGATTCCGGTAAAAAGCTATGGTCTGGGAGGCCCCAGGGGTATTCCACCCTATAGGACAGAACTATAGACACACTATGAGTCAGAATTGACTCAGTTGTAGCAACTGAGAGGGTTGTACTGCTATTGTTTGCCACCAAAGAGCCCACTCTGGTTCATGGTGACCTCATATGTGCACAGCAGAATGGCTCCATGGGGGGTTCAAGGCTGTGACCTGCAGAGCACTTAATCATGTATGCCCCCAGGAACTCTGACCTTAGGGGAGGAGGGTCTAAAGGAGCTGGCAGTGGGGTAAGCGGTCACAGGGCTATCGTCAAAAGTGAAGGATGAGGGAGGAGAGTGCTGGGGCTTTGTTGCAAGATCTCACACTGGAGACCCAGCAGAAAAGCCTAGAGCCCCCTGTCTGGGGGATGGTAAGACACCCATCCTCTCAATGTTCTCCTCCTTGCTGCACTGGCTTCTATGAGGCTCATGACTTGCTCTGAGTCTCTGCACCAGCATCGCTCTGCCCAGCAGAGTGGAGGTGAATAAGAGACCCACCTGACGGGGGTCTGCTATGAGAGCAAGGGGTCAGGGCAGGGCTTAGGCTCCACTGCCCCACTGGCCATTCAAGTGAGAGAAGCGTGGAGAAAAGACACTCACTTGGCACCTTAAAGAGTCAGCACGGGGAGTGGAACTACAAGGCACCTGCAAGGTACTTAGCTGGCTTTCTCAGGCAGAACCTTTAAGCAGGTACACCCAAATCAAGCCTGTTTCCATAGAGCTGGTTTCAATTCCCTGCGACCCTGTAGGACCGAGTTGAACTGCCCCTGTGGGTTTCCAAAGGTGCACAGCTTTACAACATCTGACCACCATGACTTTCCCCTGCAGAGCGACTGGTGACGTCACATCACCAGCTGAGTGTTTAACCAACAGGTTATCCTCCATCGACGTCATCCTCAGGCAGGTATGGCCTACGCTCAGTGTGTGATGTGGAATGAAGACGTAGTCACTGAGCATGCCAGATCTGGAAAGGCAGGCATCCGTTTTCTCTTGCTGCATCCCAACTGTGTAGCGTGAAGCAAAGACTATTTATTGTCTCCGTTTCTGCAGGTCAGGAGTCCCAGCCCAGTGTGGCTGGGTTCTCAACTGGGGTCTCACAAGGCTATCATCAACGCGTTCGGCCAGGACCATGGTTCTCATCTGTGGCCTCACAGGTTGTGGGCCAAACTCACTTCCCTGCTCTGGGGGGACTGAGATCCCTGTGCTTTTGCTGGCTATTGGCTAGAGTTCACACGCTGTCTCTAGATGTCTCTTTTAGGTCCTGCCCACTTGGCCCTGTCCATCTTTAAGCCAGCTGTGCAGAACTTCTCACCCAGGAGCGCATTTTGTGCTTCCAAGCAGACTTCCCCTGACTCCCTGTGATTAGGACAAGCACGCCTGGGAGATCTTCCAGTGTGAAGCTCAACTTTGCCGGGGCACATAATCTGACTGTGGGAGAGAACCCCATTAGGCGGGGCTAGGTCAAAAGTTATTGCTATGAAACCCCGGGAAAGCTTTTCTTAAATTTTTTAAATCATTTTATTTTTTTAAAATCAATTTATTGGGGCTCATACAATTCATCACAATACATAGATCAATTGTGTAAAGCACATCTATACATTTGTTGCCCTCATTATTCCCAAAATTCGCTTTCCTCTTGGGTTCCCGGAATCAGCTCATTTTCCTTTTTTCCCCTCCCCCTCCCTTCCTCCTTCCCTCTCCCCCATGCACCCTTGATAATTTATAAATTATTATTGTATCTTATATTACACTGTCCGGCATCTCCCTTCACCCACCTCTCTGCTGCCCATCCCCCAAAGAGGAGGTTATATGTAGCTCCCTGTGATCCATTCCCCCTTTCTTCACCCCCTTTCCCTCCTGGTATCGCCACTGTCACCCCTGGTCCTGAGAGGTTCATCTGTCCTAGATTCCCTGCGTTTCCAATTCCCATCTGTACCGCTGTGCATCATCTGGTCTAACCAGGTCTGCAAGGCAGAATTGGGGTCCTGGTAGTTGGTGGGAGGAAGCGTTTAAGAACTAGAGGAAGGTTGTGGATTTCATTATTGCTATACTGAACCCTAAGTGACTCATCTCCCCACTACCCCTCTGCAAGGTATGTCCAGTTGTCTAGAGATGGGCATTGGTGGGAAAGCTTTATTAAACAAGAAATAGCTAAATGGGAAGCTATTGCTTTTCCATATAATCCTCCATCTTCAAACCCACACTTCTCTGGGTGGTTTTCCATTTCGCTAACCCTTTCCCCAAAGAATTCTGCACTCTTTGATTCACATCAAAACAGCTGCTTTGGCATCCCCCAGAGATCTGCACCATGGTTAAGCAAACAAAACTACAACTGCTGGTGTGGGTGTGGAGAGACTGGACCCCGCATGCACTCCTGGTGGGACTGTACTGTACAACCACTGTAAAAAGCAGTATGGAGCTTACTGAAATTTGGAAGCAGAAATACCATATGACCCCATAATCCTTCTACTTAAATATGGCAAGAGCTATACCTGGAGCATTAAAAGCTGCAGCAGTAATAGCTATCTACACACCCACATTCATGGCAGCATTATTCACAACAGATGGAAACAGCCTAACTGCCCAGCAGTGGAAGAATGGCTAAAACAACCATGGTACATATACACAATGGAATACTATGCAACACTGAAGAATAATTATGAATCTGTGAAGCCCCTCAGGATATGACTAAACCTGGATGACATTATGCTGCGTGAAATGAGTCCATCACAAAAGCACAGACATTGTAGGAGACCCCTATTTGTTAGTTTGTTTGCTTGTTTGAAACGAGCTTGTGAGCCACAACAGAACTTAAGTCAGTTTCAATTTGATCATCCTCTTTTTATAACCACCCAGACCAGTGTTTAGGTCAGATGGGTAAGGAATCCAGGGAGTTTTTTAGGCTGTGACCCTTCTCTTTCACTTTTTAATTTTTTTTCCTTTTTGTTTGTAGAGTATAACACAAAGAAAAACACAATATACAAGGGGGTCCCCTTCCCCCCACAAAAAGTGTAAATAAACTCTGCTAGGCAGAGCTTTCATAGTACAAATTTTTCCCTCTTGGCGAGCATCAAGCAACTCACTCTGAGTTAGTGCACCCAGTGGCATCACCTGGGAAGGTTCTCTCTGGCCACAGAGAATTTTTTCATGAAAGCCGTTTCACTTAAACTTCATTTTTTGTGATGGCAAATTTAAGAGAACAGCGCGTGGCTGTGAAAATGTGTTTCCTGCTCAGGAAAAATGCTGCAGAAACTGTTGTGATGCTGAACACAAGCTTACAAGGACAGCGCTATGAGAAAAACTCAAGTGTATGAGTGGTTTTCTCATTTCAAAAAAGGTGAAATGTTGTTTGATGACAAACCTTATTCTTGACATCTGTCAACTTCCCAAATGGACAAAAATGTCGACTCATAGTGCATTTGGAGTTCATTCCAGCAAGTCAAACTGTTAATCAAACTTTCTATTTAGAGACTCTGAAAAGATAGCAATGAAAAAGGCCTGACTTGTGGCAGACGGGGGGGGCACTGGTTTTGCCACCACGACAATGCACCTGCTCATGCAGCCATCTCAGTGCACCAGTTCTTGGCAAAAAGCAGCATGCCTCTCTTGCCCCGTGCCCCTGAACTCACTCTGTGGGACTTCTTTTTGTGTCTGTGAATGCAGAGGGACATGAAAGGACTGTGGTTTGAAACCATACAAGAGGTGCGAAAAAAACAAGGGAGGTGCTGCCATCCATCCAAACAAATGAGTTTGAAAAATGTTTCCAAGGATAGAATCACAGATTTGACAAACGTATTAACTGTAATGGAGAGTACTTTGAAGGTGATAAGGTTGTTTTGTGTAAAAAAAAATTACATATATAGCTTTGGAAAAAAATTCCATTTTGGGAGGGGGTACCCCTCATACATAGCTGCACAGCCAATCTTATCTATACAGTGACATTGTCCCATAAATCCCTTGATATGTGGTTCCCCCACCCTAGCACGGGCCTCTAGTAGTCTTTAAAGTCTTGTCCTTTGATGTGAAAACCATTTTGATTTCTTTCCTCTGTAATAATGGTGTCGAAATATTTAACTTTATGAGACTGGTGAACTTTGCTGAGCATAATGTCCTCCTATTTTGTGCCTGTCATGAGGGGTTGACAGACTCGGTTTTCAGGGGTGCATAATATTCCATTGTGTGTATGCACCAGAGTGGGTTTATCTGTTCCTCCACAGATAGTTCCCCAAGTCTACCGGCAGGGCTTGGGAGTACAGTTTGAGAGCACGAGAAGCCTCACCTTGACTCAGGTTCATGCCTGGCACTCACAGAAGAGCAGAGCTTGTCTGTCTCACTTGGGACTGTGTCTCTAACACTTGCCCTGTGCCTGGAAACCCCCTGGCTCCCAGCACTCCCGTGGTAAGAAAGGAACGTAATTCCACATTTGTAACAAGGTCTCCTGCTTGATTGATATTCAAAACGAAATCTTCCCACCAGCTCCCAACAGCTAATTGCTACCTGTTCATTCAATGTGTCTTTTTGTTGAAAACATATATAACATGACATTTGCCAATTCAACAGTTTGCGGTGCACAATTTAGTGCTAGCAATTACACTATGGATGTTAGGCAGCTAACACCTGTCACAATACTGGCTGAGCCCCTGCTTTGGTCAAGTGCTGTGGTTAAGTGCTAGGGACATAGCTCAGACCAGAGTGCCTGCCTGTGAGGGTGGGAGCATCTTGCCAGGGCACCCAGTCAGGCCCCACTTCCAAGCAGCAGAGGTCCTACACTACAGCTCAAGGCTGCCCTGCCTCCATATCCCTTCAGGAGCTCTGGGAAATAGGAACCAGAAGGAGCAAATCTGCATCTCCCTCAAATCTGCTCAGAGCACCTCAGGATTTGGGGGGAGCACTCCTCCCAAGCTCCACCACCTGCTTCTGCTCCCTGTGCCCCAAAGCCCACTGAGGTTGAAACCAGATGGGCCTGATGGTGCCCACGGTGGCTGTGTTGCTGTGTCGACCTCACCTTAAGACATTCCGTCTGGCTCTGCCTCCTGAGAGTTTCCTTCTGTGAACCAGAAGCTCTCCTGCCAATGTCCCGGCTCCCTCTCGCCCCGCCCTCCCCAAGATCAGACAGGTTCCATGCTACAATACTTCATTTATTTCACAGAATAAGATCCAGGCCAATGTGGTATGTAAAGGCACGCGGGCTCCACCCTGCAGTCAGCAAGAGCCTGGGAGTCCTGGATGCATCCTGGAATGGCACTGGCCAGAGAAGCTACGCTCAGGTGAGACAAGCGAGGAGAAGAGGATTTACATGACGTGAACGTGTGAATACCAGAAAACCATTTTCGACAAATGTCATATGAGGGAGAGGTAGAGTGATATAATCCTTTGGTAGTTATATAATCCTTTGTCAATTTGAGAGGATTAAGAGTGAAGGGGTGGAGTTTAGCCTGTCAATCAGGTCATAGCCAATGAGGCCGCTGTGTGGGCATGGCCTTCTCCTAAGGATTCTGGGAACTCCTGTATTTCCTCTTTGGAGGCAGGAGACACACACTCTCTCTGCTCACTCCCTGTGAGACAAGAAGTCACGTGAAACTACACTGATGGAGCCAGAGCCCAGGGAGCTGGATGAGCCATGTGAGACCCCTGCCAGTGCTGAGACGCTTACAACCCCACTGGATCCACAAGACTTCCCACCCACTGTCCTGTGATCTTCCTGCAAATGACATCATTGCATGTGTTGTGTGAGTCTTGCATATAAAGCTCTTTCCTATACACATGAGTGTCTATGAATTTGTTCTAGTCTACCCAGATGAACACAGGTTGGTAGGTAAAACATCTGTCTAGAAGTCCCTGCTTGGTGGCTGTAGTTGACAGTTACTCTTCCTTTATGCCACAAAGTAAAAAAAGTTTATGGGCTTCTTATTTTCATTAGTTAAAAGAAAATAATAGGCAAGTATTTTTCTTTAAAAAATGTGCTGCTGTTAAATCGACTCCTAGTGACCTTATAGAACTGAGGAGAACTTCTCCCTGGGGTTTCTGAGCCTGTATATATTTATGGGAGCAGACAACCTCACCCTTCTCCCTCAGAGTGACTGGAGGTTACAAAACCAACCTGGAGGTTAGTAGCGTAATACCAAACCCACTATGCCACCTAGGCAAATACCAGTGTGGTCCAGCGCGTTCACAAAGATCACCATGGGAGGGCTTCAAAAGGAGCCCATTGTGCAGTGGTTGAAGGGCTGGGCTGCTAACCAAATGGCCGGCAGTTTGAACCTACCAGCGGCTCCTCGGGAGAAAGATGTGGCAGTCTACTTCCATAAAGATTTATAACTGAACACCAGCTCCCAGAGTTGGTGCAAATCGTATCCAGTCACATAAAGGTTTATTCTGTGCAAGTGAATTATCCCTGTTTTGAGCTATGTAGTTAGCCTACACTTGTTCAATTTCCCTCTCTCAATATTGTTTTAAAATTACTACCCTGGGCTGATCAATTACACTATAAACAGAAGGTCTTTATGCTCCTGGGAGATGAGCTATAAGATTCTCTGCCATAAACAAGCAAGGCTGTCTCTAAGGTGAACTGGAGGCAGATAAAAAACAGATTCAGGAATGGATTGGGGGCTTGCACTTAATCCTAGCTCCAATCTAAGAACAGTTAGTTCTTTTTTTTTCTTTAACGTTTTATTAGGGGCTCATACAACTGTTATCCCAATCCATACACACATCAATTGTGTAAAGCGCATTTGTACATCGTTTCTCAAAACATTTTCTCTCCATTTAAACCCCCGACATTAGGTCCTCATTTTTCCCCTCCCTCCCCGCTCCCCCCTCCCTCATGAGCCCTTGATAGTTTATAAATGGGTATTTTGTCATATCTTGCCCTGTCCGACGACGTCTCCCTTCACCCACTTTTCGGTTGTCTGTCCCCCAGGGAGGAGGTCACAAACAGTTCCATGTAATCGGTTCCCGAGAACAATTAGTTCTTATGACAAGGCCCTGCTCAATACTTGCCCTTATGAAGGAAACACAGAAAATATGGGTGCTATAGCAAAGTGTGGTGAAGAAATTAGATGGTGCCCAACTATCAGATAGAATAGCACCTGTGGTCTTAAAGGCTTGTTTTCAAACAAGCAACCATCTAAGTGAGACATCAACTAAGCCCACATGGAAGAAACACACCAACATCGGTGATCCAAGGATTGTCAATTACATAATACAAATCCGAAGGAGGGAATAGTATCCGAGCCTAAATTGTGAGATTCTGATGTGCAGAAGGCTATGGATGACAGTGGAAGCCCAAAATACATTTGCAGGATCTATAAGCATCTGTTCTGCCTTTGCTAATTCATTGCTCAGTACCTGGGTTCTTAAAAGCTTTTAAGCAGCCACTGAAGGCACAACAGGTCTCTATTCACCTGGCGCACCAGAAGGAGAGTCAGGAGCAAGAAGAGGAAACGAGATGTGTGGCCCACTGTTCCCAGGAACAACTGCCTCCTTTGCCGGGAGACCAGAGGAACCGGATGGGACTAGGCTACCATTGCTGAACATTCTGGGCTAAGTGCCCCTATAAGAATCCTGATCAAACAGGATATAATACAGAATAGATTTTCAAAATTTCATGAACTCCTGATTTTCAGGCGCCAAGGGGACTGGATGAACCTTGGACACAATTGCCCTGAGATAATCCTTAAACCAAAGTAGCTCTGAAATCTTCTTAAAACCAGATAGTACTTTAGCTTAACAACAGTTGTCTGCCTTGTGCATGATGCATTTTTAAGAACTATCTATATGAGATCACAGCACGCCAGTGGTACAGTGGGTTACAGGTTGGGCTGCTGACGGAAAGGCCGGCAGTTCAAACCCCCAGGCTGCTCTGAGATGGCAGCTGCCCTTGAGGGGGGTTGGCCAGAAATGAAACCCAGGTCTCCCTCGTGGAAGGGACCAATTATATACCTGCTCCACCACTGCTCTGCCCGTACCGATTGGCCCTGGTAACTATGGATGAAGACCAAGGCAAACTCACTGCCATCGAGTCATTTCCGTCTCCTAGCAGCCCGATAAGACAGAGTAGAACTGCCCCTGTGGGTTTCTCAGACAGTAACTCTTGACGGGGATAGAAAGTCTTGTCTTTCTCTCTTAGAGCTGGCTGGTGGTTTTGAGCGAACTTCTTTTTTTTTAAATCATTTTATTGGGGGTCCGTACAACTCATCACAATCCATCCATCCATCCATTGTGTCGAGCACATTTGTACATTTGTTGCCATCATCATTCTCAAAACATTTGCTTTCTACTTGAGCCCTTGGTATCAGCTCCTCATTTTCCCCCCTCCCTCCCTGCCCCCCCCATGGGCCCTTGATAATTTATAAATTATTATTATTTTGTCATGTCTTAGACTGTCCAATGTCTCCCTTCACCCACTTTTCTGTTGTCCGTCCCTCAGGCGGAAGGTTATATGTAGATCCTTGTAATTGGTTCCCCCTTTCTACCCCACCTTCCCTCCACCCTCCCATATTGCCACTCTTACCACTGGTCCTGAAGGGATCATCTGTCCTGGATTCCCTGTGTTTCCATTGAACTAACTTCTAACCACTATAGCACCAGGGTTCCAATTAGGACTAGTGCCTCTTTTTATTCCTTGAAAAACAATTCTGTTTGGACCTTAAGTTACTCTGTTTCATTTCCCTCTGTCGAGTTTGAAGGCAGTAAGTGTTGACTACTTTAGTCCTAAATCCAACGATCCTCAATCCTAGATGACGCGGTTGCTTCTGAAAGCTGACAGTGAACAAACGGTCCCCCGGGATGTTAGAGACGGGAATGAGAAGACACCTCGTTGCACTCCCTAATGTCATCAGTATTTGTCTTGGAGTCCCAGCTCCCCCAGATAAGGGCAGTCAGGGAATTCTGAGGGGACGCAAGTGGACCTCAGGGCCCCTTGGCCGGTGGGGAGCCTGTGGTCATGCCCGGGGCCCGAGTGACAGAGAGAGCCTTACTTTGTACATGTTGAGGATCTGCAGCGTATTTCCAGATGTCAGCTTTAGCTGGATCATCTCCCGATTCTTCCCTTCGATCGCTTCTAAAAACTGAGCGTTCTCAATCTTTAGCTGCTGAAAATCCACGTCGTGGAGGGCCTCGCCCACCTCTTCCTTCTACCACCCAGGGAAGAGCAAGCAAGTAAGCGTGACCCGCTCGGACATGAGTCCCCGATGTCTAGCTCACACCCTGCTGCTCTGGACGTGTCTCTGGCATCTCTGACAGCCAGCCATCAAGCGGTCATTCAACAGCCCTGGGCTGAGCACTTGCCTGGAGCCAGGCATGGCAGTTGAGATGAGGGTTCATTGGCAGCTCCTTGGCCCGGAGGAGGAGTGCATACTTGGCCAGGAGGTACTAACAGGCTGACACGGTGGGCGGTACAGGGGCTGAGGGCACACAGAGAAAGACCCTTCACTCGGGCTGGGTCAGGGAGGGCGCCCCACAGGAAGGTGGGGACGCTCAAACAGGGCTTTGAAGGAAGAGGCCTGGTCTGCTGGGATATTCCAGAGTTATTTTTAATCTTGAAGCCCCAGGGAAATCAACCCATAAACTCCTGTGATTAAGGGGCATGTCTGCACCCGAGCACTTCCCATGCTGGGTGTCCACCTCCTGGGATCCACCTTCCTCCCCTTCCCCAAATATGACCCAGGCTCCAGCTCAAATGCTCTCAACCTGTTTTCTACACCTGAGGGTCAGCCCTCTCTGCTCTGAGCTTCTAGAATAGCAGCTCTCAATCTGTGGGTCACGATCCCTTTGGGGGTGGAACGACCCTTTCACGGGGGTTGGCTAAGACCATTGGAAAACACAAATATTTCACAATATATAATATCGTTTTGTGATTATATGTTCAATTTGTAACAATGACAATACATCCTGCCTATCAGATATTTACATGATGATTCATAACGGTAGCAAGATGACAGTGCTGAAGTAGCAACGGAAATCATGTTATGGTGGGGGGTCACCACCACATGAGGAACTGTATGAAAGGGTCACGGCATGAGGAAGGTTGAGAACCACTGCTCTAGAAGAACCTGGAGCCTCTCTGGTTGCCTCTCCCACTTTTCCAGGAGCTTCTAAGAGCAAGAGCCAAGCCAGAGTCATGTCTGCATCAATGGCGAGTGTCAGCTTCCTCTCTCCCACGCGCCCTCCCTGCAGCCACCATGCAGGGCCGAGTCTCCCTCCCTCGGGCGGGAGTACCCCTGGTGGCTCCACTCTGGGGACCTCTGTTTTAAAATAGTATTCTTGGTATATAGTCCACATATCATACAATTCAATAGGTCCAACCCATCAAGAAGAGTTGTACAATCATCACCACAATCGATTTTAGAACATTGTCTTCATTCTTATACTCATCATGATGAGCTCCCCATTTCCCCCCAACCTCCCCTTGCCATTCCCCCAAGGAATCATTCATCCAGGTACCATCGCTATAGATTTACCTATCATGGATTTCCTATACAGAAGACATTTTTTAAAAAAAACACCCTAACAACAATAATAAAGTAAAACAGAGAAAATCTTCAATAGAAAAGGAAATTGGGCTCATCTGGATGACGCAGGATAATCTCCTCATCTCAAAATCCGTGACCACACCTGCAAAGCCCCTTGTGCTGTGTAAAGAAATATAACCCCAGGTGCTGGGGATTAGACTAGGATCTCTTCAGAGCTGGTGTTAGGTGTCATGTCACCGTGTCATTTCTGACTCGTGGCGACCCTGTGTGCAACGGTCCTGCACCTGCGCGATCATTCTTATGCATGAGCCTGTGGCGGTAGCCCCCGTGTCCATCCATCAAAGAGGCCTTCCTCTTTTTCACTGTCCCTCTCTAGGGACTCATCCCTCCTGACGACATGTTTAAAGTACCTTTGGGGTGGGGTGGGGCATTGTGATGAAAGGCCATTCGTCTGCTGACCACACAGGGAACAGACAAACTAGACCTACCACCACTGAGTTGATTCCACCTCACAGTAAGCCTGTAGGACAGAGGAGAACTACTCCATTTCCAAGGCTGTACATCTTGATGGGAGCAGACAGCCTCATCGCCCTCACTCCTAGCAGCTAGTGGGTGTAGAAGTGCCAACCCTTAACCTGTTATGCCACCAGGGCTCCTACTGCCCACCTCAGTCACCTTAAAGGAAAGCAAGCCACATACCTGTCGCAACTGTAAAAGCATTTTTTTCTTCTGGACTTTGAGAGACACATTTTTCAAACGTAATTTATCCTTCATATTATCCTAGAACACAACAACCCAGAAAGCATGTTTTAGTCAAGTTCTCTCCTTCCTGGTTTGGAGCGCTGGTAGGTTTGGGCTGCAGACCAGCCCGGGGCCCTACCATGCAACCCCTTAGTTCCAGATCCATTATTCCCCTCCAGGCGGGAAGCATTGTGCCATCTGACTCCTGACCACGCAGCAGAGGAAGTGCTGTGGGCCGCGTGCAAAGGTCAGATGGCTCTGAAGTTCAAGGTGATTTGGGTGTGGAGGCAGAGACCAGACCATATAGCTTCTCCAGACTTTTCCCTACAAAACAATCTTAGGTTGGTCTTTCATTCTCTTGGTAGCTTCTACAACATTTACTACTTAGAACACTTAAGGATGCATCATCCTTCCAAGCTGTCAAAGCTTGACGGGCTATAACGTCTCTAAAAATGAGGCGGGCGTGGGGGGAAGGGATTGATATTGAGTAGATTCCAAATCACTGCCATCCGGAGGCCAGAGGAGAATTGCCCAAGGGGCACACTGTCGTGAATCTGTGCCACGTACCTCCCTCCTGTGCCCATGAAGAAAGATGCCCTTTGGTTGGCAGCTGAACACTTTAACCATAGTGCTATCAGGGTCTCTTTGGAACTGAGGAGAACCAGGCAGTGGTCCATCTCCTCCTAATAAGGGGATCTAAAAGGGTGTGTTCCACTTCACAGTCACCTGACCAGACAGGCCTCACCTGGGTCTTAGGGGAAAACTCCAGCCCTTAAATAACAGTGAAAAAGAGGAAGCTGACCTGAAATACTATTCCGAGTCATCCTGCCGAATTGGTTTTAGCCATGAGAACCTTGCACTTTAAACATATTATCTGTTTGGGGTTGGGGGTGGGGGCGTTACTTCAAAAATCTGCGTACGTGGCAGCATTTTTGGTGGAGTGAATGGAATTGGGCTGCCGGGCAAACACGGGCCATTTCTGAATCACCATTCAATGAATTGGGTCTTCCCTCCTACACATGCTAACCACATGCTAACTCACCCTCCGGCGATTCATGTCCTCGATATACTTCATCACTTTCTGCGTGGCCAAAATACTCCCTTTCTTCTTAGATATGGTTTTCAGAATATCTTTTTGGAAATCATGCGCTGCTTTCTGCACTTCGGTGTGCCGGATTTCCGCCTCCTCAATAATAGCCTAGGGGGGGCGAGGGGTGTCAGTACAAAAATGGAACGGAGTCTCCAGAGAGGTCAAAGCATGGATCCCCGAAGGAAACCCAGGTTCCCAAGCTTCTTGGCCAAATCAGTTCAATCATACAAATATTGTGGGATCCCACTTAAAGGCAATACCTAGACTAAGCACGTGTATTAGTGGTTTACGGGGGAGGGGCATAGGGGGTCCATGCTGAGGGGACACTGCACTTCTACGAGGGGTTGCAGGGAGACTCAGAAATGGATCGTGGTGGTGGTGGTTGGCCGGCATGATGAGCATGACTAATGTTACTGAACTGAAGAATGTTGAAATGGCAAATGTTACACACACACACACACACACACACACACACCAGACATTGATGAAGGATTCATTGCAAAGCCTAGACTGAAACCTTTGTGTGCAGGCCATTCCCAGCCTACACATGAGTTTGGCGGCTAAGTCTATCTTTTGAGTCAACTTTGCATGCAAATCAGAACAGTCAGGTCCGTTTCCTATTTAACGTCAATTAGTTCATTGTATATGACGTACCTTTGTATGCATAAAACACCTTAGAGGCATTTCCAGGGAGCTGAAACAGCTGTAACTCAGCAATAATGTTTTGAAGGACGTCACAGAGTGGCACCCATTTGTTTTTACAAATCATTGTCTGTGCCTCACAGTTTTATGGAGGGGTGGTTCATAGCTCCCGAGTTGGATCTAAATCGATGTTTGTGACCTGGAGGTTGCCTGCATTTAAAAGATTTTCTGCATTTAAAAATTTCTTATGGAATTTTGAAACTCCTGAAATGGCTGCTCTGAAGTCATTTTGAAGTCTCCTTCACCACAAACAACAGTCAGTTCGCAACCATGAAGAATGTCTGCCCAGCATCGTGGTCTTTTCAAAAAGGACCTTGTGTTCGTCTGGGTACTTCAGAGAAACAAATCCACAGAAGCTCGCGTTTAAGAGAGCGTTTTCCCCCTCCCTGGGGGATGGACAGCAGAGAAGGGGGCGGGGAGTGGAGACATCGGACAGCGTAACATATGACAAAATAATAATTTAT